CTACCTCCCTACCAGCAACCCTGTTTGTTCTCTCTTATGGTTTGCCTCCCTATCTGTTTTTAGACATTGAAGGATTTTAAGCCAAAAAAGTTGCCTGATTAAATTTATGTTTTAGAAACTTTGCTTAGGCAGCACTGAGTGTGATGGGAAATACTACAAGAGGAGCAGATTTAAAATTGTGCTTTAGAAATATCCAGGTGGTACTTGAGAGAGAGATTTGGGAGTCCTTGGTATGAATGTGTGTATATCTAGGAATGTGTATATGTATGCTATGTGTATTATATAACATATCATATAATACAGCTATAGGAGTGAGGGGATTTCCATTGGATGATGAGGGGAAAAGGCTGAGAATAGAACACAGGGAAACATCAACATGTAATAGGTAAAGAGGGAGATATAAGTGAAGAGTAAGAGATCCATGACACAATAGTCTGGCAAGACTATCAGGAAAAGTGGGAATAGTCAAGCAAGTAATGAGCAGCATACAGGTTTAGTAAGATGCCTTGAAACCTCTTAAGCTGCTCAGTACAAATAACTACATTCCTCATTTTTAGAACTATTTTAATGCCTAAGCAGAGGTTAGGGTAAAGGAGGGTTACTTATTTATTCCTTTGTGCACTGACAGGATGAACTTGGAGAAGACTAAGAACTATAACTTTTTTTCTGGAATATGTCTCCCTTTAAAGATAGTACTTTGTAATTGTAATTGAAGAATTAAAAATGGTATTAAAACTTACTCTTGTTATTTTGAATTAAAGGGGCCAATTTGTTGGCAAGTCTAAAATATTCCATTCTTGCTAAACATTTTAGTGGAGGCAAATTGTTTGTAGTGTAAAATAATTTTGCATTTACTCTAAGGAAGGTAGAGAAATAGCTGCTGTGTATTAATATAATATTTGATTTAAAGCACCTGGTGCTTCAAAAACACTGTACGGAATGTGTTGAGTTTGTCCTCTGTAATCGATTGTCTCTCTGTCATGGCAGTGAGCAGCAACTAAAGAAACCAAAGAAAGCCATAAAAGTAAATTCTTTGGAAATGTTTATTTTTTTAATTGAGACCTTTAGTTGATATTGCCAAAGTTTTTTGTAAGTTGCAGATTATTTTTTTCTTAAACACTTTAGAAATTATAACTGAAAACTTACATTTTCTGATCACCTTAACCCAAATTTAAAAGTTAATGTGGAATTTCTTCCAGCTTTAGTGCTTACTAGAGTTTCAAAGCTTCAATAAAAAGAACCATGCTATTTAAAGTCATTATAGGGGAAAAACAGGATGGGGAAAACTAAATAGGATTTCTGGAAAGTGAAACTGATGGTTACGTCCTTTGGTGGAGTCTAAGTATTATAATAGTTCCATGCATGGGAAGTCTGCATCATTGAACAGAAGTACTTTCTAAATTTAAGCCGCTGTTTTAAGCTTTTTGGCTCAACATTATCTGTGTGTACTTACAGATTTAAAAAAATTCAAAACTTCATATAATTTGTGTCATTGCACCTTAGGAAGGTACTATGAGAGTTTAAGTATTTATTCAATAAAGAATATATTATTTGGATTCTTAGAGATTAATTATATTTCTAATACTTAGTTGTTTCTACTTTCTAGTTTGATCAGTAAACTAGAAAATCTTATTAATTAATTTTAATAAAAAATATTAACATCTTTTATTTTAAACTAACTTGGTTTTTATTTTTTTGTTCATTTAAACTTTTGGTGGTCCATAATTATAGTTAGTACCTGAAAGCTATGCTATTTTGTTTGAATATAGTCTACTCTAAACCAATTAAAAATTTTTCCAACGTAAAATATCTACTTAATTAAAATCAGATTTTTTTGAATGCTCACCTGTGGGTGCTAATATCTTTTATTTTTGTAATTGAAATAATTAATGTTAGAAGATTTATCAGTGAAATTTTTCTTTGTTTTTCTTTTTTTTAACACTCTAAATAGTCTGATAGGTTACCTTGAAGGGGAGTTTTATCAAAACTGGCAATTATGCTATGATTCTACAATGTAGCTCAAAATAAATATTTTAATAAAATATAAAATAAGAAATGAACCACATAAAAAAGGTCAAGAAGAATGAATCTTGTGTTGTTGAAAAACAACATAATTGCATAAATCAAGATAATTTACTGTTCCTCTCAAAGGACTTTAAGTTCTTAAAACAATCTTTAGAAATTATAGGTACATAGCAGTAAATTAAGCTTCAGGTTTGCCATAAAACATTGGCAATAAGATTATTTTCAAATTATCAGGAAAAGAATATGTAAAAGAAGTAAATCAAAGTATGTTACCATTTTCAAATTTGTTGACACTAATAAAGATTAAATCTCAAACTTTTTTCTACATCTAGTGCTCTATTAAAGAAATTTTGTTTTTCCATATGTGTATTGTTAGAATTGCTTTCCCAATTTGCAAAATGTTGGGAGTGATTTACAGTTCTGCTAGCCACTCGATCATGACGTTAGAATGGGAATACAGACGGAGTCAGTTCTCGTTATTTGCAGGAGTTTTGTTCTATAAAGTCACCACAAACACTGAACTAGCAGATACTGACCATTGCTTCATCTCTAGTCACAGCTCTTTTGTCAACCAATCAGTACTTATACTTGGTTTTTGTATGTTTCTGTTGAAAGGCATCTTATTTAATATATATTGTTGATTCACTAACACTGAACTCATGGCCAACGACAGTATGACTCATGTCCGAACAAAGCTTATGGAGCACACGTTTTCTCAGTGAGGCACCTCTCAGCCTTCTTATACTCACTTCAGCACTGTGCTTGAGGGCAATTTTAAACAACAAAAATACCAACAAGAAGCATAAAAAAAGCAAAAACCAGCACTTTGTGAAAACAGACTGTGAAAGGATGCATATTTACAGCATGAGAGCTGAAATAAGAAGGCAGATTGTTGCCTTGTTTGACTTCAGATGGGAATGTGCACATTGGGTGACTCAAATTTTTTGCCAGTCTTAACTTTGTGCATGTCTGCAAATGACTGCAAAAGCACAGCAAGTATTGATTTTGGGTTACAAATAAATTCTGTGAGCAGGTAAATCTGCAAATACAGAATCTATGAATATGAAGATTGACTATATATATAAAATTACCATGGCTGTGTCTTCAGTCCTGACTCTTTTGTTTTTGTACCTGCCAGTGGTTTTCAGCTTCACATGGACAACTATTCGAAGGGGTTCTAAGGTTAATTGCTTCTTGATTTCAGGGTACATTTTTGATTTAAACATCTCCATTAATTCTGAGCTCAAATAGTCTCCTTTTCTATGTTTCAGATGCAAACAGTACTTAACTAAATGATTACCTTACGGGTCATTGTTATTTGAATTAGGACCAAACAGAGAATTTACTACAAAGTTACCTGATTAACTGAATGAATAGTAAACAAATTACCTACACACTGTGTCATATCTCAGCGCTTGACTCCTAAAGAATTTAGTCTAAGCTCTTCCAATTCTTAACATCCCTTAAGTTATAAAGTGTGATTTTTTTTTTTTTTCAGTGATTTTGATCTCTACCTCTGCTCCTGCTCCATACACTGATGGCAGAAACTTAATCTTAGTGTTCAGTAATTCTGGGTTTAAACTAATTCAATTCATGATTCCTGCTTTCCCTCCTCTTCTTCCTGGGCATGGCATCTAAGTTCTAAGGTGATTAGGTGGCATTGTGGTCTCATCGGTGGTTGGCATGTGAACGTAGTGGCGACCCTGAGATCTGCATCATCCTCTCCGGGTCTCAGCTAGTATCACCCCCACATGCTGGCATCTGCTGAGAAGTCTGCATCCCTGTCTGTCCCCAGCTTTGTGATCTTCTGCTTCCTGCAGCCACCCCCCCAACATCACACCTTGAGAGCTTTTCAGGGCCACTGCTCTCCCAGCCAGCCCCAGTATACTCTCCTGTGCAGATCTGGGGCCAACACAGTCTCCTGGACCGTCTCAGGCTTTACCTCCAAATTGAGTTCCGGTTGTGATAGTCTTTGTTTTAGAATTTTACTTTTAGTAATAAACAGACCTCACATGTTACACACATCCCTAAATGTATCCTTTTGGAAAGTAATAAAATTTATTACAATACTACAGTTATGTTCCAATTGTAACAAATATGTGATGTGTTATATTTTTGTCCAGTGTATTACTTACAGGGTTTTTTTAATTGAAATCTTTAGAATTTGATTATTTTCTGTTGTTCTGGATTTAAAAATATGTAAATTGAATTCTACTTTTTTATTGAGGTATAATTGACATAGGAGATTATATTACTTCTAAGTGTGCAACATAATGATTCAATATTATTATATATTGAGAAATATATGTATTGAGAAATGATACCACAATAAGTAGTTAACATCCATCCCCATACATATTTCCAAATATTTTTTTTCTTATGATGAGAACTTTAAGATCTACTCCCTTACCAATCCTACTTTTAATATATTATAGGGTTTAAGGAATAAACCAAAGAAAACAGCGCATGTGAAACCAGACCTCATAGATGTTGATCTTGTAAGAGGTGAGTCTTGAATAAATAACAGCTTAATGCAATTAGAAATTGACCCTGAAGAAACATTATTCAAAGTGGGTTAAGTATATATGTAGAGATAAAAGAAATGTGAGCCGAAATGAAGGTGGGAATAGTACAAGAAAGACGTAGTGGAAGTATTTAAATACCATTGACTAGTCTTTCTCCCCACTAAAGATCAGTCTAAGAAATAAAAGAAAAGCAGCTTGTGTTTGCCTAGCCAACTATATGGCTTGTTTATAAAAATTTAAGTGGTAATTTTTAATTTCTAATTGGAACTGACCTTTGAACATTGTCTTATATTTATAAAATATCTGGGAGAAATTCTGCTGTTATTTCAGTTAAAATGGTTTCTTTCAGAGTACCTAAGTTAATAAGATAGCACTAAGAATGTTTTTAAAAGTGCCTACCACCCAAAATTGGGCATTTCTCACTCATAGTATAGTGCAAACTAAAATTATACATGGTTTTCTCTGTCCTTCAAATGTTGAAATATTTTCTCTAAGGAAATTAAAGAATGATGCATGTATTTTGTCATTTTATTTGACTTTTTTCAGGGTCTGCATTTGCTAAGGCAAAACCTGAAAGTCCTTGGACTTCTCTGACTAGAAAGGGAATTGTTCGAGTTGTGTTTTTTCCCTTTTTCTTCCGGTGGTGGTTACAAGTAACATCAAAAGTCATCTTTTTCTGGCTTCTTGTCCTTTATCTTCTTCAAGGTATAGTTAAGTGATAGAAATTCATTTTGCTTTTAACTTTCAGAATGTTATGTTTTTAGGCTTACTAAGGCTTTTGAGAAAACATATACTAATTATATGGAGTATGAAGATACACATTTGTTGTGATATTTCATTTAATAAGACACAGCTGGTTTGGTGTTAAAAATGTTTGAGAAAACAGTTATGTTCCATTATAATTTTTATAAAAACTTGAATTTGCAAATGGCTAAAGAAAAACACAAATTGAGAGGAATTTAAAAATTAGAAAGTCTCTTCAAAATGTACATACATATCACATGTACCTACCACACCAGTCTTTTTTTTTTTTCTTAAGTTTATTTATTTTGAGAGAGGGAGAGTGTGTTTGCACATGGGCGCACAGTGGGGGAGGGGCAAAGAGAGAGGAAGACAGAGAATCCCAAGCAGACTCCATGCTGTCAGCCCAGATCGCCACATGGGGCTCAGTCTCACAAACAGGGAGATCATGACCTGAGTCAAAATCCAGAATCAGACGCTTTACCAACTCGGCCATCCAGGCGCTCCCACACCAGTCTTTTTTTATACAAGCTATGTGAGTTCGTTTTTCCTGTATCAGCTATAGTTTCTCTTTTCTTCTATCCACCATATTTGGAGACTGTCCTCATTCTGTATTGAGAGTCTGTTGCCAGGCAGTATTCTGAGTGCTTTTCAGAGTCTCACTTAATTCTAACAACCATGCAGTGAAGTGTTGGTACCAGTAGTTTGCCTAGCTTATAGAGATGGGACCCGAAGGACCTGAGGGCCCCAAGTCACACAGTCCCCAGGGGCAGTAGAATCCAGGTTCGAGTCTAAGCCATCTGACTACCAAGCCACATGCTTAACACAACTCCATTATGCTGCCTCCCAGCGCAGCAGTGCTCTGGTGCCCAGTCAGAGCAGCAGCGCACAAGGCATAATACGTGATGCTCTATAGAGTGTTTGGAGGCTTGAAGAAGACACCACTCACATCCCAGCACTGTAACAAAAGCAGTGGTTTTAATTCAGTGGGCACCCTTTCAGTCTTTTTAATGTCTTGCTTTTTTAAAAAGACATGATAGTAATCCTGAATGATTATTTAAATATGTTTCATCAACAAACTCTAAGTAAAAGATTAAGTATCTTATTTTTTTTTTCAGATAAGTATCTTCTAAGTAAATGAAAATACAATAAAGCCTTCAGACTTTTATTTAGGTAAAGTTGTTTCTTTTGAGCCAAGGTACATCATATATACCTAAAAGAGAGTGAACTATGAAGATTTTGTGATTTTTATCAATAGAGAGATTTGTGTGTTTTTCTGATTAAAGAAATGATAAATGTTAATTGAAGAAAATTTGGAAAATGTAGGAAAAAAATTTTAAAAACCTGCCTGTAATCTGCCCTTCAGTTTACTTTGTAACATTTTTTATGTAGTTTTGATTATTCTGTATAAACAATTGTATTTTTTTGCCTTATGTAATCACAAGTATCATAGTCTGTATATTTTTAAATTATTATACACTGTCCTACATCAGTATTGAGCATTTAAGCTTTTTGCTGTCTTTTGCTATTAGATTTACTGCTGAAGTGAATGTATTTGTGAAGTTTTTCTTATATTTTGAATTATTTTCCTATGATAAATTCCTAGAATGCCTGCAATGGGGTGTAATAACATGTCCAAGGATTTTCATATGCAATTTTTAATCACTTTCAAGAATTTGACCTTTATTGTTATTGTTAAGTAATGCTATTATATGATAGTTCTAACTGTATTTTTATCCGCTATTTTCTAGGTGTAGTGATCCCAATTTTTATTGAGTTACCATCTTGTGTTTGCTGTCCTCCCCAAAAGATTTAAGAGAACTTAATCTAAATGTAGCTATCTTCTAATGCTTTCTAGTTTACCTACAGGAGAAACCTTTATTCTAAAGTAGTCAGAAACTGTAATTGCTAATGAGAGTAATGAGTAATCAGTACCATTGATTGTAATCTCTGTGCATTGTGCTTTCTACTATTTGAAGGCAAGGAAGTTTCCATTGTAACTAGATGTTCACATGTTGTGTCTGAAATTCACTTACTGGCTTGCCAAAGTTAAATAAGAAACACAGGTTAGAACAGACATAAAGCAGATCTTTTTCAGTTCAGAACCAAAGTTTAACATTATAAGTGTTCATAAATGATAAACACTGAATATTCTCCTAGTAAAGCTTAAAGAAGTGACTTAACCCACTTCAAGTCACACAGCCAGTGACAAAGTGATGATATGACCCTTAATGACCCTCAAAAATCTGTTGGCACCTTAGAAACCCCTGTGCCTCCATTTTTTTTTTAATTAAAAGTTGTGTCCTCATTCTCTATCCCATCCTTATCTCCTGAAAGGTAGAAAGAATCACATGCAGTCAGATTTGGTTTTTTACAACTACGTATAGTTTTTCACTTCAGTTACATAAGTATCTCAACTGTGTATCCTCAACTACATTTATGCTTTTTGCTTATATCATTTCTCACCCAGATTTTTGCCAAGAGCCCTTATATCTTCTACCTTCTATTCATTTATTTATTTATTTACAGAGAGAGAGAGAGAGAGAGCACGAGCAGGGGAGAGGGGCAGAGAGAGATTTTTTTTTTTAAATTTTTATTTATTTTTGAGAGAGAAAGAGACAGAGTGTGAGTGGGGGAGGGGCAGAGAGAGAGGGAGACACAGAATCTGAAGCAGGTCCCAGGCTCTGAGCAGTCAACACACAGCCCGACACGGGGACCGAACCCACGAACTGTGAGATCATGATCTGAGCTGATGTTGGACATTCAACCGACTGAGCCACCCTTGCGCCCAAGAGAGAGGGAGAGAGAGAGAGAGCGAGAGAGAGAGAATCTTAAGCAGACTCCATGCTCATTAGGGAGCCTGACATGGGGCTCTATCCTACAACCCTGGGGTCATGACCTGAGTGGAAATCAAGAGTTGGACCCTCAACTGACTGAACCACCCAGGCAGCCCTGTCCATTTACCTTTTAAATTGCAAATCCAAACCAGCCACTTAAGGTCTAAATCTCCTTTTAGTTACCATTGCCTTCAAGGTGAAAGCCAAGTTTTTAGTCAATCCTTTGTTGAATCTTTCCCCAGGTTTAACCAGACTAAATTAGCTCTTTGCTGTTTCTTCAGCATTTTGTGGGTGTTTTTGTTTCTTTGTTTTTTTAATGTTCTCTGCCTTTGGACATACAACTGTCTTTGCTTGGGTAACCCTTTTTCCTTATAGTTACCTGGTCAGCAGCGTCTTCTTGTTCTCTCAGTTAGATTAGGCATCAGATGCCCCCTTCTTTGAGAATCCTTTCATAACCCCCCAATTTAGTTATAGGTCTTTCCTGTATATATTACAGCACTCTTTATAGGTACTGCTCGAGCTGCCATAACAAAATAGCACAGACTGTGTGGCTTAAGTGACAGAGATTTATTTTCTCACAGTTCTAGAGGCTAGAAGTCTTAAGATCAATGTGCCATCAGGTTGGTGTCTGGTGAGGTTTCTCTTACGGACTTGTAGATGGCTACCTTCTCACTTGTCCTCACATGGTCTTTCTTTTGTGTGTGAGCAGAGAAAGTTTTCTGGTGTCTCTCTTAGAAGTATACCAGCTCTATTGGATTAATGCTCCACGCTTACAACTTCATTCAACCTTTGCTCTATGCATTTGGCCATTTAGGGCTTCAACATATGAACAGGGCAGAGGGCACAATTCAGTCCATTACTGGTATCTTGTTTCTTTTTTTTTTTTTAATTTTTTTTAATGTTTATTTATTTGGGGGGGGGGAGAGAGAGAGAGAGAGAGAGAGAGAGAGAGAGAGACTGACTACAAGCAGGGGAAGGGCAGAGAGGGAGACACAGAATCCGAAGCAGGCTCCAGGCTCTGAGCTGTCTCAGCTCAGATGTGGGGCTCGAACCCACGGATTGCGAGATCATGACCTGAGCCAAAGTTGGCCACTCAACCAACTTAGCCACTGAAGCGCCCCACTTGATTCTTTATATGTCCCCCTTTTCCTCTAAATTGAGGAGGGGCAGGGAAAGAGACTATGTCTTATTTGTCTTTCTACTCCCAGTGGCTAACATCTGTCACTAAGTCTCAAAGACTGACAGACCTAAAAATTGACCTTTAGATGGTTTTTTATTTCTAATGATTATCCCTAGAGTTCTGCTTGGCCAGTATGTGAATCTTTGGAACTTTTGTGCCTAATAAACATTTTGTCATAGTTGAGCTCTTGGAGGAATCTGTAGAAGTTCTGTCTAACAAAAATCTCCAGTAGTTCTGTCTAGTTCACAGGACTTCATTACATGATCGAAAAGTATAACTTAGCATTATGTAAGAGAAGTGAATGCTTTCTTCTTAACCCCTCACTTGAAGGGAAACAATAGGATGGAGGTGATACCAGAACTGTGGATACAGGAACCACTGTCTCAGGAACTGAGGCCATGGGAGGGACATGGACACTTAGGCACAGCCAGAAGAAAGAAAGAGGGATAAAGTTGGTTCCCAGCCCCACCAGAGAGGATGGTAGTCACAGGGCTGAAAGAATACAGATAAATAACCAGCAAGAGGTTATATAAAATCTGAAGTTCTTTAAGATGTTCTTCTTTGTGCCTGAAACTCTGAACCTCATAAGTAGCATTTGCATCCCCCTTCTTTTTATTTTTTATTTTATTTTTTTAATTTATTTGTTTAGTAGTCCCTACACCCAACCTCGGGCTCGAACTTATGACCAAGAGATCAAGAGTCACATGCTCTTCCAACTGAGCCAACTGGGCAGCCTGTGTCCCCCTTCTTTTTAAAGATAGTTAATTTAGTGATAGTGAATAGAAGTACTATCACTAATGTTAGATACACACTATGTAAGGAGCTTTTCAGAGTGTTTTACTTGAATTTCTAGTACCTATCTCCGATTTTATTTTACAAAAAAATAAATAAATAAACCAAGGCTCAGAAAGGTAAAGGGACTTAATAAGGGTCACATTAGAGTTCATATTAAAAACATCAAAAACTATACTTTTCAAAATTTGAGCTTTGTTATAAAACAACTAGACACTTTGAGTTAAATTCCAGGGTAGTTCATAAAGATGATTGGTATTTAAAAAAAAAAATTAAGTCTCTTTTTTCTTTTTAAAGAAACTTATTACTTAGGAGATTATAAAGCTGAAATTTGTTTTTATGGGACCTCTTTAAATATTAGGAGGTAAAGTGGTATGTTAAGCTTCCATCTTGGTGTGCTAGACCAGGATTCTTTCGGTTGCAGGTGGCAAAACCAAATGCAAACTAGCTTTTGCAAAAAGTGTTGTTTTTGTTTTTGTTTTTTTGCTGCTTATTATAAAAATTAAAAACAAAAACAAAAAAGGAAACTAGATAGACTGGTCAGTAACAATAGCCCGATGGCTGTATGTTCCAGTTTGCCTGGGACTGTGCAACCGTCCAAGTCTACTTGTGTTGTCCTGAGGCTTTTATTTCACAGCTCCTCTTTCACTCTCAAAAGAGTCCTGATTTACATGTTAAGTTGCATAGTCATTCAAAACAGCATATGCCCATCTCTTTGATTAAATAATCATTGATATTTTAGAATATTTACTTAATATAATTTGTTGAAGTAAATTATATACATCATGACATTTTACCCCAGTATACATCAACATGCATCTCTTCAAAATAGGCACATTACATGACATTACAACAATCACACCTAACAGAATGAGCAAAAATCTCCTAACTTTCAGATTCTCCAGTTGTTCCAAAACAGAATTAGAAACTCCTAGGCCCTTTATTAAAGCATTGCTGGATCTAGAGGCTCAGGTGATGTCTTTTTGTGTTGTTGATTCTGTTCTCATCATGCTGGTCTCATTCTTAAGAAGGCTTTTTTCTGAGTGGTGGCTGAGGTGGTATGGTAATTTTGTATTTCCATAGTAGTGCTTGTGATCTAGGAGAAAGGCCTTCTTTCAAGTACTTATATTAATCCCTGAAAAAGATTCTGATTGGCCCCACTTAGGCACATGCCCATCTTTTTATTTAAAAAAAACAAACAAACAATTTTTTTTAAGTGTTTATTTTTTAGAGAGAGACAGAGACAGAATGTGAGCGGGGGAGGAACAGAGAGAGAGGGAGACACAGAATCTGAAGCAGGCTTCAGCCTCTGAGCTGTCAGCACAGAGCCTGATGCAGGGGTTGAACCCATGAACCGTGGGATCATGACCTGAGCTGAAGTCAGACGCTCAACCAACTGAGCCATGCAGGTGCCCCGCCCATCTTTTTATTAATTCCTGTGCCCAGAATTAAGACTGTGGCAAGACTAGATTACATTTCTATCCCTGAAGTCAGAGAAATAAGACCATTTGATTGACAGATAAAAGGGGCAGACTCCCAAAAGGTAGACACTTTTATGTCTAGAAAGTATAAAGGATGCTGAGCAGGCAAAAGCAAGATTTCTTCTTCGTATGACAGTGCTTAGTATTGGTGAGTGTTTAGAGGTTTTCCTGAAAAATACACCCAAGTAAATTTATGTTACTATTTCTGAGTGGATAAACTTCTATTGAAAAGAAGCTCTTTATAGCCTTATTACACACATCATAGACTTACTTCCTTGTTTGGAAAACAAAGAAATAAGAGCACTAGAAGTTAGTGGTTCTTTTGATTGTGATCTTACTAGGAATGCCCTTAGATTTATATGCATCTGTTTTTCACTATAGCGTTAAAGTGTGTACTTTAGAGACTATGTTGGATGTTATCTTGTTCCAGGAGTTTATTACTGAATACTGTGGGTAGCCAGTGGCAAAGAAAAAATAGTCTGAAAGAGCTTGTCTGGAGTAACATCTTAAACTCATTTAAAATTAGAAAAATAATCTGCCAAGAAGCAGTGTTAGAACAATTTTTAAAGTTTTGAAGAAGTGACTATCAGATCTATAATTAAACATATTTTCTTTCCCTTTTTGTAGTTGCTGCAATAGTGTTATTCTGTTCCGCTTCTAGCCCACATAGCATACCTCTGACTGAAGTGATTGGGCCAGTATGGCTGATGCTGCTCCTGGGAACTGTGCATTGCCAGATTGTGTCAACAAGAACACCGAAACCTCCTCTGAGCACAGGGGGTAAAAGAAGGAGGTACTCTGTTATAAGTGATCTTTTTGTGTATGTCTGTAACTTGAATCTAAGATTGTTCTTGACTTGAATAAAATGTCATCTTGTAAAGTCACTCTTTCAAATAAAGCAGGGAGTTTCAGAGTAAACTGCCAGAAGATTTAGGTTGTGCATTTGCTTCAAGGCCATTGTGAGACCACATACCTACTTTTGTTGTTTTTGCTTTCTTTTCTGAAGCTCATCTGCAAGGCACCTAATATCATTGCAGGGAATATATTAGCTGGAATTGCTGATAATTCTCTCTGTTTACAAAATCTTGTACTTATACTTTGACAATAAGAGCCAAGAAAAAATTTCAGTCAAATTCTATTTATTAAATGCTACTTGAAGCTGTTTCATATTGCCCCTTGATTAAGTAAACGTAGCAAGTCTCACTGGCCACTCAGCACAATGGAGTTCTGTTTAAAGGGTCTTTTGGAGCAATTCCTCTTTTGAATATCGTTGCTAAGAGATTGTGACATTTGCAGTATGGGGATGTTGAGATTTAAGCCCTTTTTGTTTTGAAAAGATAATACCTTCATTAGATAAATAGCATTATTGATCAGTTAGATTATAATTCTTTCCAATCTAAATTTTCTTCTTTCTTCTTCCTTCTTCTGCAGATAAGTGGCATTCAAGTAGGGAAGAAATGCTTTTGTAAAAATCTGTCCAGTGTTATCCTTACAACCTAATGTCCACTGACCTGTCATTAAGAGCAAGAAACAATACCTAACACTTATAGAAATTGTTCTCGAATATGTACCTTAACATTTGGATTAACTTCTATCCAGTTTATTTGAATTTTATTGTGTATTGAAGTTCCTGTGTTTATGTTTTATCAAAATTTTGAATGTACTGCCAAGAAAGTGGTTGTTAAAATTTTAAAGTTAATCGGCTCTTAACCTCTTCTGATGAAGGAAATTAAGAAAAGCAGCCCATTTGGAAGTACATAGGGAAGGAGATGGTTCTAGTACCACAGACAACACGCAGGAGGGAGCAGTTCAGAGCCACGGAACCAGCACCTCTTATGGCGTCGGCGCTGTCTTCAGAGACCTCTGGCACGCGGCTTTCTTTTTATCAGGGTTTGTATTTATTCAAGGCTTTGTATGGCATAGAGATGCACTATCCCTTTTCTGGGACTTCAGTCTCAGTTAATGATTATTAATGACTTTAAATATGACAGTTCTGGGGGGTGCCTGGGTGGCTCAGTTGGTTAAGCATCTGACTCTTGACTTCGGCTCAGGTCATGATCTCACAGTTCGTGAGTCAAGCCCCACTTTAGGCTCAGTTGAGACCCTGGAACCTGCCCGCTTCAGATTCTATGTCTCCCTTTCTCTCTGCTCCTCCCACATTCATGCTCTTTCTCTCTCTCTCTCAAAAATAAACATTTTAAAAAATTAAGAAAGAAAGAAAGAGAGAGAGAAAGAAAGGAAAGGAAGGAAGGAAGGAAAGAAGGAAAGGAAGAAAGGAAGTAAGGAAGGAGAGGAGAGAGAGAGAGGGAAAGAGAGAGAGAAAGGAAGGAAGGAAGGAAGGAAGGAAGGAAGGAAGGAAGGAAGGAAGGAAGGAAGGAAGACACAAAGACACAATATTATAATTGGGCACCTGGGTGGCTCAGTTGGTGCCACTTCGGCTCAGGTTATGATCTCGTAGTTTGTGATTTCGAGCCCTGTGTCAGGCTCTGTGCTGAAGAGCTCAGAGCTTGAACCCTGCCTTGGATTTTGTGTCTCCCTCTCTCTCTGCCCCTGCCCTGCTCAGAGTCTGTCTTTCTTTCTCTTTCTCTCAAAAATAAATAAACATTTAAAAAATTTTTTTAAAAAATGGCAGTTCTGGTATGGATTTTGTTTTGATAAATTATAATGCTACAGATGATGGAAAAACAGAGACCATAAAGTTTACTTTGGGATATGTGTAAATACATCTATATGAGAATGAGTATATACCATCACAGTATGTTTAGTTGGGATTTCTTGATTTTGGTTTATTTAATGATTTTTCAAATACTGTTTGACTTCTATTGAATTGGTCATTTTATTTTTATCAGCACTATTAGTCAAAGTGACTATTAATGCCATGTGAGTTGTACATTTTTCTTTAATCCCTGCTTCAATTATGTAAAATTATCTGAAATAAAACATATAGGCATTATTATTTAAAATAATAAGATGTATACCATAGCATGAAATTCTGGTTTTATACATTGGGCTTTTTGTATAGTTTGTATCACAGCAAAGATTTACCAAATAGGGAAATATAATTACAGCAAACTTCAAAAATAAACCTAATTCAATCTTGTATTGTCATTTTTAATGGTTGATTCAAAACATGTAAGGGTTATATTAATAGTTTACATAGACATAATAAGTTTGAAAAAAGTTAAAAAGCTATGATCAAAACACAGAATTGATAAAACTTGCCAAGTTAATAAATCAAGGGATACTGCACATAACTATTTTTGAGCACTTTTGTTAACTCTTCCACTAGTATCATTGTTTCATCAACTTGTGATTGTGCTCTTAATGATAAAGTTTATCATACGTTACACAATTAAGCCATGGTATCCTGGGAGTATTTTCAAGTGCTTGTAATTTTGAGGGAAATTGTACCAAAGCCTAAGTTTGAAGTAACATGAAATTAAGTTGGATCCCCTGACCATTCCAACCACCTGTTCTTTGTCCAGAAAAGATACAGGCTTTGGTTTTATTTTGAATTTGAATTTCATTGTCTTTGTTAGTTTTTTGTTGTTGTTGTTTGTTTTTTAATAAATAGCTGTCCTTTCCAACAGTAGGATGTGAAAGTTTTATCACTGTGAAGTCAGTTTCTTAAGACCTTCTGATGAGCACTTATAAATAGCATAGTATATATGTTTTGCTTTTGGGGAATCATTTAGTTGTTTGGGTTGTCCAAAACTAAAATTGTATTACATAGTATTCAAAATCCCCCTAGATCAATAGGTTAGTGCCTTTGGAATTCTACCATGTTTCTCTAGTCAAATGAGATTCAGACTTCAATTTTCTTCCTTTTGGACTATAGAATGACCTTGACTACCAGTCACTGATATTATAATGGCTAAATCCCTTTGGATTTATTTCTTTAAAATGACAACTTTGTAATCTAAATGTTTTTAAAGATGTACTATTTTAATCTGTCTGATTTTGGAACGGGTTTGTTAGCATATGAATGAGAGTGTTTTAAATATTAGGTACAAAAAGATCTTAAGAAAAATGTTAATTTTGGAAGTTCTAAACTGAGTTCTGAAATCTTGATGATGTCTTGTTCTTTCAAGCTTTGATAAATCAGAAAGGCCTTAAAGTGAAATACCAACTGAGACTTAAAATTGTTTCTGGTGATAATAAATTGAAAAGCTAGATACCTCCATTAAGGTGTCTGAATTAACATAACTAGGAAAATAAATGTATGACCACACAAATGTTTAAGCTTCATGTAGAGTGTCTGTTGGTTTTGTAGATGTTAGGATGAAAACTACTGTTTATTTTTATGTCCTGAATTTGTAAGTTGGGAAGGCCCTATTTATCATTTCTAAGTACATTTCATTTTCAGGATAAAACAATTTTTTAGATAAGGCATAATATTTCTCATTTGAAAAAAAATTAGGAATTATTGTAAAAGAATTCCATGAACCTAAGAAAACAAAGCCAAAGAAAGTAGCAATTTAAAAAGATATAGAAATCAACCATATTTCCTAAGTATTTAGTACTTTAATTTCAAAGAATTATAGTCATAAATTAGCATAATTATAAGTTTTATTAAGAATATTGAATAGGAAGGATTACATCTAGCTAGTATATCTCTTCAGCATAATACCTTCTTCAGAATTCAGATACTAAGGTTTCTTACCTGTCCTTTAATTTACTATCACAATATCACTGAAAAACAGTCAATATAAATTGACTTGGTGGATGAGAGACAGATGCCAGAGTAAAACTGGTCATATGTTAATTCAGATGGCTGACCTCCATATTGACTATTTTTAACACCTAAAGATTTAATAAATTTATTTTTTTCACATAATGTAGTATACTGCATAATGAATTAAAGTGGTATGCAGTCCCACCATAAATTTTTGGTATAAGGATTAAAATTTTATTTTATTTTTTTTTATTTTTTTTTTTTTTTTAACGTTTAT